TCCGGAAAGCCAACAAGTTCCTACCCCTAAGTCTGGTTTCCATTTTCTTGCTAAAACTTAAGATTTAAAAGTTAACAATTGCTAGGCATGTGCTAAGCACTTAACATGCGTTCTCTCATGAAATCCTCACACCAACCCTGTGACACTGGGTCAGTGTTTCTCTACTCTGGCAGCAGTTCAGAACTGTCCTCAGTGCTTCTGAGGGGCGCCTGGGTGGCTCAGTCACTTGAGCATCCAACTTCAGCTCAAGTCATGATCTCACAGCTTGTGAGTTCCAGCCCTGCATCACGCTCTGTGCTGACAGCTCGGAGCCTGGAGCCTGCTTCTGATTCTGTGTCTCCCTCTCTCTCTGCCCCTCCCTTACTCACGCTCTGTCTGTCTCTCAAAACTAAATAAACATTAAAAAAAAATTTTTTTTAAAGATAAATAAAAAATCCACCAAGGTCCAGGCCCCATCCTCTAGGGATTCTGAGGCAGATGGTCTAGGGTGGGACCCTGGACACTGGTAGTTTGAGAAGCTGTTTAGGTGAATCTGGTGTACACCAGGGTTGAGAACCACTGAATGAAGTTCTCTACTGACTGACTGGAGCAGGGTGGTGGATGGCTTGAGGCGAGTGGCAAAGGACTGCTGAGCAGTACTCACAGCCTAGCTAAGGTTAGAGACCAGGAATTAGTGGTCCCAATTCCTAAGGCTGTGTGACTCTCCAGGACGTCCCAGCAGTTCCGGGTTTAAACGTAAAGGAAGTAGAGATGCCGAGCCGGCTCATTTGGTTAAGCTTCCAGCTTTGGCTCAGGTCATGATTTCACAGTTCATGAGCTCGAGCCCTGCATCAGGGTTGCTGCTATCAGTGCAGAGCCTGCTTTGGATTCTCTGTCATCCTGCCTCTCTGTCCCTTCCCTGGTCTCTCTCTCTCTCAAAAATAAATAAACATTAAAAAAATTTAACGTAAAGGAATTAGGCCACGGGACTGATTTGGAGTTGGTAGTCTGGCAGGTGGATACAGCAGCTGACCAAAAGGAAGAAGAGTCAGGGCTCCCAGATCCAGTGGTCAAGCTCTTTGATCTAATTTCCAGCTTATTGGACATATAGGGCTTGGATGACAGACATAAAGCCTAGGAGATGGTGGGGAGAACAGGCAGGCTCGAGGGCTAGAGGTCAGTGTGCAGAGAAAAGAACAAGGTTGGGGGAGGCAGGAAGTAAAGGGGAAGGAGGAAAGCTGTGGTTGGCAGGTAGGTTTCAGAATCCAGACAGCTGTAGAGATGCAGCGCAGGGCATGGGCTCAGGAGTGGGGTTGAAAGCAGGATAGCAGGATGTGGAAGGAGCCTAGCCCCTAAAAGGCTGGAGGGTTCCAGGGTTCCCTTCCTGTTGGGAACTTTCCAAACACTAGAAACAACCCAGATGTCTTCTAGCAGGTGAACAGTCACACACACTACGGTGCACCCACTCCACAGCACACTACGTAGCCATACAAAGGAACAGACTCTTGATATGTGAAATCTCCAAAGAATTATGCCAGTGAAAAAGCCAAAAGGTTACATATTGCATCAATTCATTCACGTAACATTCTTGAAATTATAGAATTTCGGAAATGGAGAACAGATCAGTTGCTGCCAGGGGTTAAGGACGGAGGGAAGTGGGGGAGGAAAGTGGGTGTGGCTATAAAAGGGCATTAACAGGGATTCTGGGGGTGATGGAAATGTTCTGTAATGCTTACTGGATCAATGTCAACCTCCTGGTTGTGCTGTTGTAATAGAGTTTGATGCAAGACGTTGCCATGGGGGGAAACAGGGTAAACAGCACATGTACAATTTTTTACAACTGGAATGTGAGTCTCAAAATATCTCAAAAGATGGGATGCCTGGGTGGCTCAGTTAGGTATCCAACTATCAGTTTTGGCACAGGTCATGATCTCACGGTTCATGGGATTAAGGCACACATCGACCTCTGTGCTGACAGCATAAAGTCTGCTTGGGATTCTCTATCTTCCTCTCTCTCTGCCCCTCCCCTGCTCACGTGCTCTCTCTCTCTCAAGATAAAAATAAAATAATCTCAAAAGAAACAGTTTTACAAGAGAATTTAGTCCTCATCAACTTTCCTATGTGCCACTTCTTTCCACATATCTCATGCACAGCCAGACTGAACTCATTTTTTTTCCCAGAAAGAGCAAGATGCCTCTTTGAGGCCATATGCAGTGGAGTAGTCTCTTGGGCTGGGTGCTTGTAAAAGTCAGCACATAAGGTGAAAACTGCGTATGGCCAAAATTACCCTACAATATCCCTTATGAAGACACTGTATTGGACACCAACATGTCAGCCCTCGTCAAACCCAACACAGTCTGTCTCCCCCAGCCTGCAGCAACAATGACCACTTCTTCAGCTGAACACCAGATGAAGTAGGTTTGCATTTAGGGACCACGTTTTATGAAAACTTCTCTTTGGATACCAGAATCCCACTTCACATAATTGGTTGCTCATACGAGAACAGGGGTCAACTATGGAGAAGCCAATTCATGTCTCCCACCTCACTTTCTCTGGAGCATAGGGTCATCGAATAGAGAAGTGGGTAGAAAAGCCCACACTAGTTCTATGCACCCTCTCTCTTTTTTGGCTGTGTGTGTATGGCTGGATTTATACGATGCAATTCCACTACTCACTCCACTTATTATACAGCAATGAAATTTATGTCTTTACCTAACTGCTCCAACTACATTGTGATAATAGAAACTATCTCTTACCTGTTTTTTTTAAAGATTTTTTAATGTTTATTTATTTTTGAGAGAGAGAGAGAGACAGAGAGTGAGCAGGAGAGGGGCAGAGAGACAGAAAGGGAGACAGAGAATCCAAAGCAGGCTTCAAGCTCTGAGCTGTCAGCACAGAGCCTGACGCAGGGCTCAAACTCATGAACCGTGAGATCATCACCTGAGCTGAAGTCGGAAGCTCAACCAACTGAACCACTCAGGTACCCGTTCTTTTTTTTTCTTAAACTTTTTTTTTTTAATATTTTTTATTTATTTCTAGGAGAGAGAGAGACAGCGTGAGCAGGGGAGGGTCAGAGAGAGAGGGAGTCACAGACTGAAACAGGCTCCAGGCTTTGAGCTGGCAGTCAGCACAGAGCCCGATGCGGGGCTCGAACCCACGAACCGCGAGATCATGACCTAAGTGAAAGTCGGACGCTCAACCGACTAAGCCACCCAGGCGCCCCTTTTTTTTTCTTTATTATAGAAACCATCTCAGTACACTGCTTGGCACAAGGCAGATGTCACTAAATCCTTACTTAATGAATGAATCCATGTATGGAATCCCATACTGACTGAAACAATCAAATTGCCTTGTTACGTAGCACTAAGTAGTAAGGTTCTGTTTACAGACTATGTTTTCCCAGGGCAGATGACACTCCTCTTGGACTAGGTCAAGTACTTCAAGTAGTTATTTGTGATTGCCTCCCATCACAGTGTTCATGGTCAGGGCCTTGGCTTGTAGCTTACCAGTGGAGGAGCGATATAAAATATTAAAATATTATTTCCTTCTGACAAACAGTTCATTCACTTACTGGGGAAGATCTAAGTTAATACATTTTAAGAAACAATACAAAGCATGAAGAAATTCTGGATGTTTGAGGAAACAGTTGAGAAAATACTTAAAACAGAATTACTTTTCATAGGTGAGACTGGTCCCTATCTTCCAATTTTATGTTATCTTGATTTCACATCAGTAGTAGGCTAGCCTCTTTTTTTAAGTTTGTTTATTTTGGGGGTGGGAGGGGCAGAGAGAGGAAAAGAGAGAGAATCCCAAACAGGCTCCACACCATTTCAGTGCAGAATCTGATAGGGTGTTCGATCATTACTGGAGATCATGACCAGAGTTGAAAGCAAGAATGAGATGCTTAACCAAATGAGCCACCCAAGCGCCCCAATAGTAAGCTAGCCTCTTAGAATGGGTTAAGCATACTGTCTTTTCCTTTTCTGGGTACCAAAATAACACATGTGTATATGTTATTTATATTTAACATGAAAGAAAAGGAACTAGTAACTCACCTTTATTGCACTGCCACCACCTTTGGGACCCTGAGACTTCTTGTCAGAACTGTCACTCCCAAAGGCTGCTCCCCCTTTAGAGAAGAGATCACAGGTACTCATTTGAAAGGCATCTTTAAAAAAAATTTTTTTAATGCTTTATTTATTTCTGAGAGAGAAAGAGACAGCATGAACAGGGGAAGGTCAGGGAGAGAGGGAGACGCAGAATCTGAAACAGGCTTCAGGCTCTGAGCTGCCTGTACAAAACCCGATGCAGGGCTCAAACCCACACGTACCACAAGATCATGACCTGAGCTAAAGTTGGATGCTTAACGACTGAGCCACCCAGGCACCTCTGAAAGGCATCTTAATATTTACAAACAGATCCAACACAAGAGGAGTGGATACTTCTGTCATAGCACCACGCTTCAAAAGGGCACTCTGCCAGACACTTTAGTACAAGAAGCTGTGTTTAACCTGCAACCCACCTCTCTCTCTTTTTTTTCTTTCTTTCTTTTTTTTTTTTTAAATGTTTTATTTCTTTCTAGGAGAGAGAGAGAGAGACAGCGTGAGCAGGGGAGGGCCAGAGAGAGAGGGAGTCACAGACTGAAACAGGCTCCAGGCTCCGAGCTGGCAGTCAGCACAGAGCCCGACGCGGGGCTCGAACCCACGAACCGAACCGCGAGATCACGACCCAAGCGAAAGTCGGACGCCCAACCGACTAAGCCACCCAGGCGCCCCATCTCTCTTTTTTTTTTCTTAAATAGTTTATTGTCAAGCTGGTTTCCATATAACACCCAGTGCTCATCCCCACAAGTGCCCTCCTCCATGCCCATCACCCCCTTTCCCCTCTCCCCCACTCCCATCAGCCCTCAGTTTGTTCTCAGCATTCAAGAGTCTCTCATGGTTTGCCTCCACCCTCTCCCCCACTATTTTTCCCCTTCTCCCCCATGGTCCTCTGTTAAGTTCCTCCTAATCCACCTATACAAACTCACCTCTCTTAAAACAAGAAATTCGTGCCCACAATAAGCCCTTCGTAGAAAACAGATATACAAGTGAGTGCGCTAATGGATGAATGAGAGCACCAAAAGACTAGTCCAGATTCGCTGGGCCCAATTTGAAATCCTGCTTTCTAAGAGCAAATCTCTGAGCTCCTAAAAGATTTCTAATAAGCACTGCAACTATGTATTTGAGTACTCACAATTCCAATAAGTAAAATCTCCAAGAATCTATTTTAAATAAAGATCAAATTTCCCACCATCCATATTTGGCTAAAGAATACATTCATATCCAAATTCCTGGAGTGTCCTACGTTGCCCAGTGATACTTTCTGAAGAAAAGTTGTTGATGTTCAGATTAACAACCACAGGCAACATCTTACATTTTACTATTATGTCATCTCACCACTATGTCAATCTTGGTGTTCGTGGCAGCATACTTACTGTTAGAGGCTGGATTAAATGTTCAGCTCAATAAACATTCCCTAAATAACTACTAAGTTCCAGACACTGGGCATACAAGGATGAACAAACCACGGTACCTTCAGGAAGCTCATATGCTACTGGGGAAGACAGATACGTAAACAGATCATTTCAGGAGAATGACCTAAGATCTATGGAAAGAAAGCTGTGGAAGCACAGAGGGCCATTTGAGCCAGTCAGGGAAGGTTTCCTGGATGAACAGATGCTAACTGAAGAAAGGACAAGGATGAGGAGACACCCCAGTGTGGTGGAAGATCGTGGTGTGTGTAGGAAACTATGGATGAAGCCAAAGCCAAGTCTGAGGTGAGAGTGCTGTGAGATAAGCCCCAGGGAAGTGGCTGAGGGTTAGGGCGTGAGGGCCTAAGAGCGCCACTAAGGAGCCTGGAATTTATCCTAGTATAGGGAACCACTGAACAGTTTTAATCAGGAAATTCCATCTTAAACTTGTCTTAATATCTCCAATGCCTAACACTGTGACTGGCACACAACAGTTGTTCAATAAATGTCCAAGTAAACTGAAAACCCAAAATGCTGACCACCAAATGCCTAGGAAAATGCTACTGCCAAAGGAGTTTTGTTACACCAAACTCTTAAGTAGGTTTGCCATACATTCTCTCCTTAACGATGATGCCTTCCTGTTATCCCAGCCCCTCCCCCGCTGGATGCTGCCACCTTCTGACTGCCACCTCACTCCCTTTGATTGACTGAGGACTCTGGCAGCAGTTCCAGCCGCCTTTCCACCCTCACTCTTGCCATCATCTTGGATGACCTCCCCACCTAAGCTGAGGAATCACCCAACAACCTAACTTCACACTTCTAGACCTCCCTCCTCCTCAATGTCCATGCCTTCTACTCCAGGCCACCTGCTCCCAAGGGCACAACACGATGGAACTGTACCACCGAGAACTAACAGTTCAGTCTCTGGATACAACGTCATGTTCTTCCATCCTTCTCATGCCTCACTCTCACAACACTGGCTCTTTGACTTCACAGAAGCCACTCCCCACTTTGGTACCTTTATCCTGCTGTGTTCCCCTAGGCTACCCAATTTCTCCTTCCCCTGCCAGTCTGGACCCCATGCTCGATCATCTGTGTTCCCACGGGCACCCTTAATTCTCTTGTCAAGCTATTCTATTCTCATTGTCCAACAAACCCTCAACCTTGGCTCAAGGCTGCACCTAGATCTTTTCAATCTTATACTATGCCAGTTGCAAGTTACCAGGTAAATCATGACTGTACAGTGTCCTCTACAAATTCATGGCCTTCAACCTCAGGCTCTCAGCCTTGACGGGTGATCCTTTTATTACTGTTTCCTTCCCTTTCCCATCATGCCTGATGACTACTCCAAACTTTACCACTCTCAAGAACCCTACTCAGTCCTTGTCCCTCGGTCTTAAAAATTACCCTTGCCTTCCACTTTAATAAGAAATTGAGGCCATGAATCATGATTTCCTATAAACCCCACCTTCCCACTATGGCTCCAATTTTTACAACCATCCCCATCCTCTTCTCTTTCCCTATGGCCTCAAGCATAAAGTGTCCCTTCTCCTATTCAGAGGTTAACTTCTCCACCTCTGTCCTAGACTCAATTTTCTCCAACTTTACTCCTCTGGCCCCTTACCTCTCTAACTCTACCGGATCCTTTACATCAGCCTCACTCTCAAGCTTTCCTCATTTTGAAGAAACAAGCAAAACTTTCTCTTAGTCCTTTGTCTTCTTCTATCTACCATCTAATTTCCCTGCTCTTTCAATAAAGGCTTTCCAGAGAAGTACGCACTGACTGTCTCCAACTTCTAACTTCCGGGTCAATCCTCTAGTCACTGGCCACCCGCTGCCGCCGTCCCGGGCCCCGGGGATCGCCGGTCCACTCCCTCCCCTTGCTCCTCATCCGATCCCATTCTCTCTGGCTGCTCTGGCCGCTCTACCTTTCCCTCCTTTCCCGGAACCGCTTTTTCCCTTGGGCGGCATCTTCGAATCTTGTGGCTGAATTGTCAAAGGCTTCGGTTGCCAGACCAAGTCCCTTCAGGCCCCCACGGGCATGTCCGAAACAAATGCCTGAAAACGGCATCGAACTTGAGTGTTTTTGCTGCGGCCTTGGAAGCAGGCAAAATTTGGGGCAGACCCGGTCCTTGGGCCCGCGGACCAATAGAGCTGAAGATGTCTGACCAATAAGACGTTTGGATCGGCTAGAGGGGCGGTGCCAATGGTGGAGCAGGGGCGGGAAACCCCGCCTTTGCGGGTTTTTTTTGTTGTTGTTGTTGTTCCTTCTGTCGCACGCCATTATTTGCACCAGCTCCCAGACTCCCTCACTCCCCCGCCCGTCTCCTCCACGCAGGCGTAGTGGAAGGCGCGGGCCTCTGCAGTCCCTTGGCGCCGGCTCTAGCCAATCCCGCGGGGCCGCCAGACAAAGGGAAAGGAGGAAGAGCCACGGTGGCTACCCCTCCTCCTGCTCCCTCCTACGCACAGGCCTTGCCCTCCCTTGTGGTTTTTCATTTTTTAAATGTTATTCTGCAGTTGTATTTGATTGGATTTAAAAGATAGTTAAAAAAAAAAAAAGCTGTTACCCCTCTCCCTCTTGCAGAACTCTTTATCATGGAGAAAAATTGGAAGCGGTCTAAATGTTCCTCAGTAGGGTATTGCTTAAATAGATGTTTCAATCACACAGAAGGATATGCGCCATTTAAAATAACGAGTGTAAAGCTGTCTGTGCAGACACAGGAAATGGCCTTAAGGCAGGTTACAGACCAAGCTGTAGAATATGATTCATTTTTTGAAAAAAAGTATATAGTGTGCTTTATCATATATGCATAAAAGACAGGAAGGCTACCTAGCAAAATGTGACCAGTGGTGCTAGTACAAGTTGTTGTATATGTTTCTGTGTATTTCCCAAATGGTTCTGTAATGGTGCAGCATAGAATTGTAGTTAAAAGCCTGGAATCTGGAGCCAGACTGCCTGGCTTCAAATCCCTGCTCCACATCTGGCTACTAGCTCTGTGACCTTGAGGAAATTACTTCATCCTTCTTTGGCTCAGTTTCACTATCTGTAAAATGGAGTTGATGATAATAGTACCTACTCACAGGGTGTTAAGAGAATTAAACAAGTTTATATTTATAAAGCACAGAAACCAACGACTAACTCCTAGAATATTGGTATAAGAGGAATGAGTTTTGAATTTGTATCTCCACACTTTCTTCCCTTACCTGTAACCCCTCTTCTCCTGATTTGTATGTAAGGTCAGACCTTTTTCTTAGGCTCCATAAGACAGCTGTCCCAGCTTGCTACTACCAGCCAGAATATATAGGTCCTCCAGTTCAGAGTTTAGTGTTTGGATACAGCCTTGCTGGACTTGGGGTGCTTCATGCCCAAACCAAAGGATCAGGCATTTTTGAGATTGTGCCCACCCCCAACTCATACATAACAAGCAACCCACTCTTGTTGTACTGCTGTGACTTCTGGACACAGCACATCTTGGGCACTCCTTGTTTTGGAGTAGGAGTGATCAACTGGGAAACACACCCAGTGCTGAGGGGATCATTGGTTTTCCGCTTCTGAGGTGGATCCAGCCCATGTACTTACTTTCCAAGTCCAGCTGGGAGATGGGGGGTGGGATTTGACAGTGACAGTATGGCTCATCCACAGCCAGAAGCCCAAGAGGCACTTTACTTCTGAATTTTCATAGGGAACAGCCCTTCTGTGACCACTGACCATGGAATGAAGAATGGGAATGAAGCAGAGTTCAGATCCCAATGAAGAGCCAGCATTGAATGGCAGCTGCACCTGACAAATGCTTAGTGCCTGGAACATTGTGGGAGCTCCGTGTGTCCCAGCAGATAACAACAACAACAGTAATACAAAAGTCTGTGTAAGTGGCTGAACTTAGCTGAAGCAGTACCTAGGGGCCAATAGCTCAAAGGAGAAGAGGATGGGCATTGGTCTGCTGGGGGTTTTCAAGGTCAAAAGCACTGTAAGGCAGTCAGATTCAGAATCATATACAATCTCAGCTATGCAGTATGCATCACAAAAAGGTGGAGAAGGAAATATGATAAAATCTTTAGTGTTCAGGGTGCCTGTCTGGCTCAGTTGGTGGAGTATGTGACTCTTGATCTCGGGGTTGTGGGTTCGAGTCCTAAGTTGGCTGTAGAGATCACTTAAAAAAAATCAAGTCTTAAAAAAAATCGTAGATGTTCATTCTGGAATGTGAATTTGTGGCTACCTTTTATTTATTTCTGTTTATATTATATTCTGTTTATATCAATTGGCATGTATTTTTATTTTATTCAAGAAAAAAGAGCAATAAACGTTATTTGTAAAACAAACACCAAAAAAGCTAACTTCTCTACAGGGTTAAGTCTGTGCCAGTCTGTGGAGGCCGACTGTGGAGGAATCTGTGGAGCAGAGTGACGAATGAACATAAGAGCGGGCAGGGGGCAGAAAGGAGAAAACTTCAGCCTTGAAACCATGGTAACGACTGCGGGAGTGTGCACAGTGAGTCAGAGCCAGGGATGGCTGCCAGTTGTATTTTCTATTAATTATCTCCTCAGACAGATTCTTCCACGTATTTCTTAAACAAGGAAAAATTAGGAAGGGAAGCTGGCAGCCCTCTTCCCAGAAGTTCACAAACCTTGACCGATACTCACTGTCCTGCCCTTCCCGGTCTACAACCAAAGGCTGCAGTTTCTTTCTCATTTGAGACCCCAGCAGAGCTTATTCCGAAAGGGGAGCTTGATGCAACAGAACACAGAGATCTAGTGGATCCCATTCAGAGGTGGTCAATCCCTGGGGAGCTCTGGGCCCCAACCTCTGCAGACAAGGGTAGAAAAAGGTCACCTTTGGAAATGGAAAGAAACAAAAATCAGTACACGATGGATGAGATCAGCCACCTGCAAAAGTAGAGCCCATTATAGCAAATGGATACAGGTATATTCCCAATGGGATGGATGGGTCTCCTGAGCTCAGTCAGTGGCCAAAGAACTTTCTAATCTTCTTCATGCCCTTGTAACATGTCTGGCATGAGAGAATGAAGCTTTGAACAACTGTTTTTTTAAGGGCTTCAGAGAAGAAGATTCCACTTCTGTTTGTCCAGCATGGTGTAAGAAAGAGCTGCAGTTTCTGGAGAACATTAATATTCCAGTATCTAGTGAGTTGGATTTTATTTGGAGGCTGTGTTCATTTGAGACAGTGGAAAACAACCAACACAGGTGGCATATGTAGCATGAGCCACAGGCGCTTTCCCTTCAGTATCTGAGTTTCACAACAGTTTTTTTTGAAGATTTTATTTATTTATTTATTTTAAGTGGTTTTTTTTTGTGTTTGTTTTTTAGAGAGAGAGAGCTCACACACATGCACACACACGTGTGTGTGTGGTGGGAAGGAGCAGAAGGAGAGGGAGAGAGAGACTCTCAAGCAGGCTCTATGCCCAGCATGGAGTCTGATATGGGGCTTGACCCCACGAACTGTGAGATCATGACTTGAGCTGAAATCAAGAGTTAGACACTTAATGGACTGAGCCACCCAGGAACCCCTAAGATTTTATTTTATTTATTTTTTTAAGCTTATTTATCTTGGGGGGTGGGCAGGAAGAGAAGGAGAGAGACAATCCCAAGCAGGATCCCATGATGGCAGCATGGAGCCCAATGGGGGCTTGAGCTCATGAACTGTGAGATCATGATCTGAGTGGAAATCAAGAGTCAGATGCCTAACTGACTGAACCACCCAGGCATTGCCCTACGATTTTACACCCAATGTGGGACTCAAACTCATAGCCCTGAGATCAAGGGCCTCATTTCTCTACTGACTGAGCCACCTAGGAGCCCCTGTTTTCATAACAGTCTTTTTTTGCAGAGAATCACCATTGCCATTTTAGAACTGAAGAAATGGGCTCAGAGGAATTAAGAAGTGTCTTCAAGTTTGCACATCTAGGGACTGTGGCAGGGTTGGCCTCTGAACTCAGATCTGATGTTCTGCATGATGACACTGCCCTAGGCTTTGCCATCCCCTACATGAAACCCAAGAACACCCAGTCCCCTTTGTTCTGAGTGGTATTCAAGTCAGCTTCCCAGGCACCTGAGCCCTTACAGAAATCAAGGTGCCAGGCCACCCACCTTACAGAAATCAATTCGCCTCTGGGTTATGCATTAATGTTCATTTTGAGTAACCTGGAAGGTGATCACTTCTGCCTACTGGACCTCCCAGGCCCAGAAGCACAGAGGCAAGAAGGAACATGGTGTGGGAGGTGAGCAGTGAACAGAGCATTGTGGCCAAGGCTGAGGGGGGGCAGTGGGGAAGAGGTCTTTTTTGTCCTCATCCTCAGAAAGCGGTCTCCATGTCTAATGGATTCTGCCTTCTAAACAGCTCATCTCCTCTGCTCCTCATCATTGTACAGTGAACAACGAGCACTTCACTGAGATTCACCAAGCATCTCTTGCCCTTGTCCCCTGCCCTCTTTGTCCCTGCCACAGCCTTCTGAACATTCTCTGGACCCTTGGAAAAGCCTCCACTTGTGGTCTCTCAGCTGTCTCCCAAGCTACCCTCCCACCTCCCCAGCATCTGAGAGAGAGCCCTCAGAAACACAGATCTGATACTCATTCCCCCAGTTAAGACCCTTCAGTGGCTCCCTGTAGTATGAGAGGCTCCTTAGCCTGGAGACCCGAGGGCCTTTCTGCTGACATCTGCCCTCATCTCTTGCTAGTCCCCACAGGGCTTCAATCACATCGAGTTACCATTTACAGGCCCTCAAATGTATACTGCTCTCTTAAGACTCCATGCCCTTGAACATGCTGTTCTGTCTACCTGGAGTGCTCTTCTCCCATTAAAAAACTTTTTTTTTAATGTTTATTTTTGTGTGTGTGAGAGAGAGAGACAGAGCACAAGTAGGGGAAGGGGTGTGGGGGAGACACAGAATCCAAAGCAGTCTCCAGGCTCCGAGCTGTCAGCACAGAGCCCAATGCGGGGCTCAAACTCACAAACTGCGAGATCATGGCCTGAGCTGAAGTCAGTCACTCAACCAACCAAGCCACCCAGGCGCCCCTTGTCTCCCATTTTTTATCTAGTTAACCTATATTT